ACCTAGTTAATTTTGGTGTTTTTAGTAGGGATGGGGTTTCATTCACCATGTTGTCCAGGCTGGTCTTGAACTCCTGACCTCAGGTGATCCACCTGCCTTGGCCTCCCAAAGTGCTGGAATTACAGGCCTGAACCACCACACCTGGCCTGAGATAAATCTTTTCATTTGTAAGTTTATAAAATTTGATGGTTGACTTATGAAATAGGACATTTAATAAAATTTGAGGCTGGGCGCAGTGGCTCATCCCTGTAATTCCAGCACTTTGGGAGACTGAGGTGGGTGGATCCCCTGAGGTCAGGGGTTCGAGACCAGCCTGGCCAACATGGTGAAACCCTGTCATTTAATAAATAAATTTGAAAGACTACTCTCTTCTGAATCAGCCTGCTAATTTGACCCTTGGTCACGTTTATTTTTGTTTTTTCCAAGACAGAGTCTCACTCTTGCCCAGGCTGGAGTGCAGTTTTGTTTGTTTGTTTTTTAGAGATAGGATCTCACTGTGTTGCCTAGGCTGGTCTGAAACTCCTGGGCTCAGTGATCATCCAGCCTCAGCCTCCCAAAGGGCTGGAATTAAAGGCGTGAGCCACTGTGAGACCAACCTTTGATTTCTTTCTTGCTGAGAGGAAATGGCATTTGTTTTAATTTCCTGGGACCTACTATAACAAGTTCATATAAACTAATCAGAAAATTATTCTTGGCACTGAAGGCATTTAAGAATCCTACCTTGTCTCTTCCTCTCTTCCGGTGGTTGTCAGTAATTCTTAGTGTTCCTGGTTTGTAGCTGCATTACTCCAGTCTGTTGCTGTCATCTCGTGATCCTCTTCATGTTTATCTTATAAGATGACTTGTCATTGGATCTAGAGCCCACCCTAATCGAGTATGACATCATATTACCTAAATATTCCCCTAATGACCTCATATCCAAATAGGGCCACATTCTGAGTTTCTAGTTGGACGTAAATGAGGGGAGGACCTCACTATTCAGTCCATCCTTCACTATCCAAATCACTTTGGTTCATGAGTTTAGATGGCATGAGTGCTAGTGCTGGTGTTGATATTATGCTACCAAAGTAAGCATTAGTTTGTTTTTTTTTTAAGACGAGATTTTGGCTTGAGTGCAATGGCTTGGTCTCGTCTCCCTGCAGCCACCACTTCCCGGGTTCAAGTGATTCTCCTGTCTCAGCCTCCCGATTGGCTGGTATTACAGGCATGTGCCACCACACCTGGCTGAGTTTTTATATTTATTACAGACAGTTTTACCATGTTGGTCAGGCTAGTCTCGAACTCCTGACCTTGGGTGATCCACCTGCCTTGGCCTCCCAAAGTGCTGGGATTACAGGCGTGCACCACCACACCTGGCGCATTAGTTTCTAATCACTTGAGCAGTCAGTTCTGGGCACTGACAAGTTGGTGATCTTTGGATACTTTGTTCATAGGGATACAGTGACTTGCCTGAATTGTGACCCTTAAGAGATTCCGAGCAACTGACAGCCCAGTACTTTAATCAAAGCCTGTAACTCATGAGACCCTGGTTGTTTGCTGCATCAGCCTGGAGGGGCAGGCCCCTTGTTCTCCAAAATGCAAAAATCAGAAGGCACATAGTACCAACTACATATGCTGGGCAATGAGAAAAAAGATACTGCCTGCTTTCAAAGATTGATTGTCTATACTATAAAGTCTGTATTCATAAATCAGATTCAACCTTAACTCCAAAACCTCTCACTTCATTCAGGGTGTGGGCCGAAGATACGCTCATGTGGTGTTGAGGAAAGCAGACATTGACCTCACCAAGAGGGCAGGAGAACTCACTGAGGATGAGGTGAGGATAAGGAAGGGGGTTGGGGGTAGAGTCTGCCTCAGAAAGGAGGCCGTCTAGATCTGACCTTGTCCTGCCTGCCAGGTGGAACGTGTGATCACCATTATGCAGAATCCACGCCAATATAAGATCCCAGACTGGTTCTTAAACAGACAGAAGGATGTAAAGGATGGAAAATATAGCCAGGTGTGTACCAAAATGAGGGCAGGATTAGAGGAATGGTGGAGAATCCTAATAGAATTGGGCATGGGAGGTCAGGCGATAAAGATCCCTTGCCCCCTCTGAATCCAGGTCCTAGCCAATGGTCTGGACAACAAGCTCCGTGAAGACCTGGAGCGACTGAAGAAGATTCGGGCCCATAGAGGGCTTCGCCACTTCTGGGGGTGAGTGGGGGTCTCCCCTTCCTGCCTGCCTCAACTCACAGCATTCCTCCTGCTCACTCTTCCCTTTTGCCCAACATTTTTTGTGCTGTATATGACCTATGACCCTTCTTTTTACCTGCAGCCTTCGTGTCCGTGGCCAGCACACCAAGACCACTGGCCGCCGTGGCCGCACCGTGGGTGTATCCAAGAAGAAATAAGTCTGTAGGCCTTGTCTGTTAATAAATAGTTTATATACCGATGGCTTCCTTCTTTGTGGTTCTGTCCATTCTAATAGGGAATGTTAAGGTGCTGAGTCTTTATAGGCATTTCTCCCTTTCCACTTAGAGCTGTCCCGACTCAGTCACCCACACAATAACTATTGGTTCTGGCAGTGGTGATGCTGCAGACCCCCCAGTCTCCCTACATGTAGTGATGTCCTTCTCTGTAAAGAGAAGAGTGAGGGGAAAACAGTTTCCAGCCTTGTGGGGGAGACCGAGATCCGTTTAGAGACAAATCATCTGGGGTTGGTGTTGCAGCATGGTTGTGGAATGGGTAGCTGAGCCTAGCCAAAAGGGTCATCTAGTCATAAAGTCCTTGGGGCTCTGATCTAAAACAACAAACGCAAAGACGCCGACATTGGTTATGAAAGGCCTGGGCTCCCTGGTGGAGTGCATGGGTGGGTCAGGACGGGGAGCGGCTGGGCAGACCGGTCTCGCTCCGTTCGGTGCCACTCCACCTGCCCGGGTTTCCGCGTCTTGCCGCGCTACTCCGACGCGGCTTCCGGCGGGGATGCGCGCAGCGCGGAAGCTTGCGGCAGGCCGGCCGCCCGGGCGAGGCGGGGGAGGGGCCGTGAGCGCCGCAGTCGTTCAGCCATGGAGCGAAGCTTGCTGGCGGCGAGGCCGCAACAAGGTAGCCACCCCCGCAGCATACCTCGTCCACGGTCTGCAGCTGCACCGCCTCCCCGCGTACTCCAGGGTGCGCTGGTCCCGGCCGCGCGCCCCGCTCTCCGCATCCCGGGCGTGGTCGGTTAAGTCCCCGGCCGCGGCCCAGCCCCTGGGAGCTAGTCTCCGCCCCACAGCCGCCATTCGCTTTTCCGGATCCCCTTAGAGTGCGCCGCACCATGCATCTCAAGCTCTTCCGGCGCCTGCTCCTCGCAGCTCTGCTGCTGGTGATTGTCTGGACCCTCTTTGGGCCTTCGGGGTTGGGGGAGGAGCTGCTGAGCCTCTCACTAGCCTCCCTGCTCCCAGCCCCCGCCTCACCGGGGCCTCCCCTGGCCCTGCCCCGCCTCTTGATCCCCAACCAGGAAGCTTGCGGTGGTCCCGGCGCCCCTCCCTTCCTGCTCATCCTAGTGTGCACGGCTCCGGGGAACCTGAACCAGAGAAACGCCATTCGGGCCTCGTGGGGCGGGCTGCGTGAGGCTCGAGGGCTCAGGGTACAGACGCTATTCCTGCTGGGAGAGCCGAACCCACAGAACCCCAGGTGGGGCTCCCATGGGAACGACCTGGCCTCGGAGTCACTGGCCCAGGGGGACATCTTACAGGCTGCCTTCCAGGACTCCTACCGCAACCTCACACTCAAAACCCTCACTGGGCTGAACTGGGCTGACAAACACTGTCCCATGGCCCGATACGTCCTCAAGACAGACGATGATGTGTATGTCAACGTCCCCGAACTGGTATCAGAGCTGGTCTTGCGAGGGGGCCGTTGGGAGCAATGGGAGACAAGCACGGAATCTCAGAGAGAGGCTGAGGTTGGGAATGAAGAGAAGGAAGGTGGCCAGGCCTTGCACAGCGAGGAAGTGCCTCTTCTGTACCTGGGCCGGGTGCACTGGCGGGTGAACCCCTCTCGGACACCAGGGGGCAGACACCATGTTTCGGAGGAGCAGTGGCCTCACACCTGGGGCCCCTTTCCACCCTATGCCTCAGGCACGGGATATGTGCTGTCAGCGTCTGCTGTGCAGCTCATTCTCAAGGTGGCCAGCCGGGCACCCCCTCTCCCATTAGAGGATGTCTTTGTGGGGGTAAGTGCCCGACGAGGAGGCCTCGCCCCAACACAGTGTGTCAAGCTGGCTGGTGCTACCCACTACCCCCTGGACAGGTGCTGCTATGGGAAATTCCTGCTGACGTCCCACAGGCTGGACCCCTGGAAGATGCAGGAAGCCTGGAAGCTGGTGGGTGGCTCTGATGGAGAAAGGACTGCGCCCTTTTGCTCCTGGTTCCAGGGAGTCCTGGGCGTCCTGCGGTGTCGGATAATAGCCTGGCTTCACAGCTGAGAGTGCTTGGGACCACAGGAAAGGCAGGAACAGGACCTTCTCTCTCCCAGGCCCAATGCAGGGGCCCTCACTGGCTGCAGCTGATATGTTTCCTCATATTACATCCTCAGTCTCACTAAAGACAGGGATATGGGAGACACTTAGGGGCCTGGCCTGCCAGCCCCAAAGATGGTCATCAGGAAGAGAAAAAGAAACAAAAAATGCTGCAGTTGTTCTCTCCAGCTAGGGCAGAAGAGGGGTGTTAAGCTCCTCAATAAACTTGTCTCCACTTCTTCGAGTGCAGTGTCATCTTCACCAGAACTCCCAGAACACAAACCTGGAGAGCCCAGAGGCTGCCAGACCCTGCTGCATGGGAAGGATGTCTCCAGGGTCACGGGAAAGAGGACAGCCTCTCTGAGGACGAAGGCCCCTAAAAGGCAAAGCTAAGGCCACAGCAGCCACAAGGTATGGGGGGTGGGGGTAGAGGCAGGACACTGATTCCTCTAATCCTAGAATGGCCTCATGCTGGGCAAGGGGGAGGGGAACAGGTCCACAGTATGATCCAGACACATTATCCAAAAAAACCACTTTCCTTTTTAATACCAACCCACCCCAGGAGCCACCTGTCCACCCCCAAACTGGGGAAGGGAGCACACTGTCCCCACCTCCTTGTTCCAGGGAATAGTAATTTCCTTACAGGTGATCTTGGGAGAGACTGTCCCCAGGCAACCCTGGAGCCTGGCTCAGCGCACAAATCTGTCCAGGGCAGATGGCCAGGCCCCCGTGGGCTTGGTCTTTGCTTCCTTCTTCTGCTGCAGCTGCTGCTGCTGCTCAAGGCTCTGCCGGACCTTGTCCTGGGGACCAGAGAGGGAGGACACAGAGACAGAGTAAGAAATGGCAGGCTGCCAAGGGCAGAGGCACAAGCAGGAAGGTGTAGCCTGTGGGAGGCCCAGCCCATCCCAATGCTCATCTACCCGGTGTTCCTCATCCATGACCTTCCTCTTCCTCTTCACCAGGCTTGCCGTGGAGCTGCGGCCCTTCTGCTTTGGCTTTGGCTGGAATGGAGCCTTAGCCTCTGGGTCGTAGCCCTGAAGGAGGGGACAGGAGTGAAATCTGTTACAGCCGCAGAGTCAAGGAACTGGCAGCACCCACATGCTGGCCACACTTGTAGGGACAAGCCATGGTGGGGAGAGGATGTGGGGTGAGGATGGGTCTGGGCACTCAGGGATCTGCTCCATACCAGCCTCTCTATCTGCTCCTTCTTTCTCTGCTCCAGAGAGATGACATCCACCTCAGCCAGGGCTCGTGGGTCCAGACAAATAAGCTCTGCGGGTACCTGGGGATGTCACAGAGGGACAGGACTCAGCAAGGAGCCACAGGAGGGCAGCACCAAAGAGAAGCCAGGGAGGCTGCTGAACCCCTCTACCCAAGACCCCTAGCACGAGACCCTTCTTTGCCTTTAGCCCCAAACCACATACACACCTTCCCCAGCAGCAGGGACCTCACTCTCTCCAGCAGGGGGGAATCTCACCCTCTCAAGCTCACGCTCTCCAGTAGGGAAGCCTCACCTTCTCCAGCAAGGCCTTCACCTCCCACTCCTGGCGCTGCTTCCGGCTTCTATATGGGTTACTCTCCAGGCCATCAAAGTTGGGCTCAGCAGCCCCTGGACAGAGGGAGAGAGGAGCATGGAGCCATAAGGAAGGACCTCAGTCCAACAGCTCCAGCCCAACCAAGTCCCCAGCTCCTAGCTGTCTCAGGCCCAAACTTCCACCCAGAGTTCATTCACTCCAAGCCCAGTCCCTTGACCCACTCACCAGGGACCAGCATGCTGGTGATGCCCCCACTGTGCCCCACCCCCAGCACATCTTCAAAGGGGCAGAACTGAAGGCCATGCACAGGGCCTGAGAGCCGGTGGGTGAGGTAGGGCTGCTCAAGGGAGGGTGGGCTGGCCTTGCCCTGCCCTGCCCAGATGTTGACAACATCACCCATTCCCGCCACCAGCAGTCCCCTCTGGGAGAAGGCCAGGTGCCCTGCTCCATGGGGCAAGGTCCGAGCGCTCAGAGGCTGGAACGTCCCTCGCAAGTCAAAGATCTTCAGCTGGTGGTCTAGGCCAGAGGTGGCCATGTACCTGGTGAGAGAAGAGGGATTAATCAATCTATCAGTAAATGGGTTTAACAAGCAAGCTGTGGCCAAGTCCAGGCATCAAGTCTGGCTGGGGAGAAAAAGATTAATAGTAGTGACCACGGCCGTCACCCTGAACACTCCACAGGCATCTTCTCGGTTAAGCTGCACACAGTTTTATTTCCTTTTTAGAGGTGAGGAAACTGAAGCTCAGAGAAAGGAAAGCTAGGTGAATGGTCAGGCCTGTCTCTTTAGCATCTGCCTCTGACCTGCAGATGCTAACACCACACACCCCTCTCGAGACATGGGAGTCAAAAGGAGCTCACACACGAACAGGCTGTGCTGTACCTAAATGTGATATTCCCCTGTACACATATGCAGCACACAGCCCAGCAAAGGGAAGGCATCTGCAATGGTCAGGAGGGGCTTCATGGGAAAGGTAGGATTTGATCCATTCTAGGTAATTCTCAAAAAAAGTGCAGGAAACATACACAACAAGTTCAAATGCATTAATACCAGAGCGTGGAGACCGAGATGGCAAAGGTTTGTTAGCGGGATTAGTGGAAAATGTGGTCAGGAAAATCAAGAGGGGACAAATTGTGATGGTTTTTTTTTTTAATTTTTACTTTTTTGAGTCTGAGTTTCGCTCTTGTCCAGGCTGGAGTGCAATGGCACAATCTCTGCTCACCGCAACCTCTGCCTCCTGGGTTCAAGTGATTCTCCTGCCTCAGCCTCCCGAGTAGCTGGAACTAGAGGCATGCACCACCACGCACGGCTAATTTTGTATTTTTAGTAGAGATGGGGTTTCTCCATGTTGGTCAAGTTGGTCTTGAACTCCCAACCTTAGGTGATCCACCTGCCTTGGCCTTCAAAGTGCTGGGGTTACAGGTGTGAGTCACTGCGCCTGGCCTGTGGGGCTTCAGACTGAGGACTCATAGCTCATCATCCTAACATTGCTCTCAGGCAATGACAAATCACAAACTGAAGGCTGCACGGACTTGAGAAGGCTTACTCAGGAAGCGGTGAAGTAACGCACTGGAGGGCCGTGCCCCGCCCCTCTCTCAGCTTTCCTTGGAAGGAGAGAGGGAAGGTTGGTGACTAAATCTTCTCTGGGAATCACTGCATAAGTTGTTTACTTTCAGAGGTTGAAGTTTCTTTTCTTCCTTTTTTTTTTTTTTTTTGAGACAGGGTCTCACTCTTTCGCCCAA